GGGGGGGGGTTGGTTAAGAAGCAAACCTCAAGGCTAATCTATGGAATGCTTTCACATGTAAAAGGTGGAAAAGTCTATACCTTATTCACATCCGATATCATATAAAACTGAGACTCAAACTTGTTATCATAGATCCGGTTGTTAAGCAAGGGAATCTGCGGCTTTAGTTCTGCACCATCCTCCAGTTTGAGCTTGTAACTGTAGACAGAAGTTGGAAATGGTTATTATCCAAATTGTAATTAAGCAAAGTGTAACTAGTTCCAAGAGATCAAACCCACGTTAATGTAAGAGCCAGAATTTGTTTTCCTGAGGGTAATTTGTCCCGATCTGCTGACAGTGCATGCAGTTTGGCATCAATAGGACGATATGGAACTCTTATCTGAAGGAAATTTCAAACAGAAAAAAGAGGTCATGTAAATGTTTTACCCTCCTAAGGAAGCATACCACTTGGAGTGGCTGACATCCAAAAGTTAAAGAAACAACTCACCTTGTCGAGCACTGCAGAAGGGACAAGTCTTTCAGCTGCCAGAAGAGCCTCAGCATCAATCCTTACGGGTGCTTCACTTCCATCAAGAATTACTTCCTCTTTGCTGATGTTTATACCACGGAATGCGATCTGAGAATTTTCACCAAGGACCAAGCAAAGGCATTACTGTCTTATTTGTATCCAATTATCCATATATTTTGGGCAGCAAAGCATAAAATTCTTCCGAGCACCCGTTCACTTCCAATAACTCCAGTGGATTCAGTTGTCCAGGAAGGGGTGGGAAATTTTACTCGCAAAAAGATAACTAACATGTAGACACACAGCAAACCCGGTTAGAAGCATCATGTGCAGAGTACTCGGTGAAAGGAGTAAAATACCATGAATCTCTATATAATAGAAGGAAAGATATTCAATCAACTACACCTCAACCGCAACCTAGAGGGTGTTCCTATATGAATCCTCTATATCTGTTCCACTCTATTCAGGCCCATTTCGTTACTAAACAATTTTGTTTTTTAATGATAAAAGAATATTTTGTTTGAATTGCATCGGTAGAATATGGACCTTGATCCCAGTTCAACCCCAAAAGATATCTCATGTGGTGAGGATCCTCTAAGATCATACAAGGAGATAACATTACAATCCCTCAACCAAACACCTCTTTGCTCGACCAAGACTGGACATATGATGTCTGGACAATATAAAATGAGGCCCAACTTTGGACAAATCAGGAATAGGAAGGGGTCTGGCTATAATAACATGACATGAAAATGGATCTAGGCAGCAACTAAACCCCAAAATCGAGCTCATGGGGTGAAAAATATCCAAGATCATATAAGGTCAGCACCAACAAGTAAGAATTCAGCCTTTTGGATAATAGAAGAAAGATTGAATTGCTAACTTAATTATTTCCTCTTCTGCTTTGCGATGAACAACTGTAGCACTTCCAAAGCTTCTCATCTTAAGAGTGGTAGTGTTTGGTTCAGAAAAAAAAGAAAGGAATAAAGAGCTTAAAGCAAAAAAGAAAAAAGAAAAAAAAAAACAAGAGCATGCCTCTTATTAAGATCATTTGCTCATCATAATTTAACCATCCAGAACAACAACAACAACATACCCAGTATTATCCCACACCTTGGAGTCTGGGGAGGATGGGTGTGTACGCAGATCTTACCCCTACCTTGTGAGGATAGAGGGTAGTTAACCACCCAGAACAGAAATAGAAATTAAACAGTCAGTTTCAGTTATATTTTACTGAAAAATTAACTACCTCAAAATCGACAATTGTTATTTCGTGACTGCCTATGCCGCTGGACCAAAATTGGGCAACTGCTAGTTCCATTGTCCGACCACCCTCCACTCGAAAGGCAAAGCTTTTGGATGAAGGTGATGAAAATGTGGCCACGCTTTCCCATTTAATGGGCCTTTGCAATGGGGATAGCTGTAGATCACAAGCAGATGAATACCAATAACAGTACGATAGGACAATAGAATAAATCAGAACATATTTTACCTGAACAGTGTCTATGAAGAATCTTCTAGCTGTATCAAATCCATATGTCCTCATGGTGGCCTCAACCCAGGTAGCACCAAATGGTACCTCAATAAATCTCCTTTCAATTTGGCCTAACACAGGTGTACATGCAGAAAATTGACAAAGTAGTAAAAGGAAGAACATGCAATATCGACCTGAAAACAATTTTAAGAAAATAAAGTGAAAGTATTTTCTTAATAATTCAATTTTCTGGCTTTATCCTATAGCCCATTTTGCCAGGATCCATACCGTGCTCAAGTTTCTGTCACAACTTTCTCCAAGTGTTTCCTTTGGGTTCTTACCCTAAAATCCATCTGTTTACAACACATCATTGCAGCCGATTTCATGGTATATATTCTCGCTGAACATCTGATCCAGATCATACTAACACTATATAATCAGATTTTTATATTCTCTGTAACAAAGTGCTCGAAATTATAGATCCCTTGTTTGCTATGTTTGCAGATAAAGAATTCAGTAGCTTAGATAGTTTTTTTTTTGAGAAGGTAACATCCGTAGCTTAGATAGTTTTATGAAGTGATTTTTTCTGAACTTCATTAGTTCACTTGTCATACTTCAAAAGATGCACATTTTCTGAGGAAAAGAACTCTAGAAAGCTAGCAAGACTATTTCTCAATGCGACTAACAAGGAGATCGTCTATCAGCACTAAACGATCAAACATAAGAGATCATATTGCTATGCCCATACTTTCAAGAAACATTGTCAACAGTTTTAACTTTGGTAGCAACACTAGAAGGAGACTTCTCTCCCTCCCCCCCCCCCCCCCTCCCTTCTCTCTCTTTCTCTCTCACCCACACACACACTATAAAATACAATGCCATGCCCCAAAATATCATTACTTCTTGACCACAAAGACGCAAGGAAGATAGTTTTTCTCCTACAATTAAACCTACACATCCATAACCACATACAACAAGAAGAGCCACACGACACTTAACCTTCCTTTCTCTTCCCAAAAATAGTATCTACTAGTTTTACCTATACAACGACAATAGCATAACCAGTGTAATCCCACATGGTAGGGTCTGGGGAGGGTAGTGTGTACGCAGACCTTACCCCTATCCTTGTGGAGGTAGAGGAAAGGGTAGCCCGATGCACAAAGCATCCCACATTTACGGCTTTACACGGGGTGGGGAGAAGGGCCGCACCCCAAGGGATGTGATGTAGGCAGCCTACCCTAATGCAAGCATCAGTGGCTGATGCAAATCCTATATATCGTTTTTACATCTGGACACATAAACAAACAGGATGTAACAAAGCAAAATGATCTATAAGGCCCGCCAGACACTACTTTACTGATAATCCTGACACAGTTAAGTAATCTGGCAGTATGCAATCATTGAAGAGATTAAATGCATGCATAGCTTAGTAATATGATACTCACCTGGTACAAATGAAATGCCTTGGAAGGAAATTAGAGGGGGTCGGATCTTTACAGCAGTCGGCTTTGTTATAGTAACTGGAATTCTGAAAAGCGGTCCACGCCACGGTGATTTGCTGTCTATGCCATATACTTCATAATAATGCAAGCCATCATTTAGATTGGTGGGGTCCACCACTATGCTGGAAAAATGAACAGAAAGAATATGTAATTTTTTCCATAATGTACACCAATCTAGTTGTCTCATGATCTTTTTCTTGGTGTATTCCCAGTTATCTCATGATTTAAAAGATCATTTTAACATTATATACTATGTGCAAAGAGAAATTAGAGCAGTAGTAAAGGCGTAATGGCAATAGCCATGATTTAATAGAAGAATTCCTTGACCACATAACACTCACTTCACTTCCTAAAGTGTCGAACAAACTAGCATTATAGAATGATGGTTCTGTATCCACCTTCCAAGTAAGAGACTAACATAGCTGGTTCTAATCACGTCATTACATATTAACGGGCAAAAAATAAGATGTCTGTGCCACAATAAGCTCTACAAGCATGTGGAAGAGAATAAAAGACGTGTCAGCTCTTCACAAAGTATATGACCAATTGCTGAAGCTGGTTCCCCAAAATGATGCAGCCAAAAACTTTGGTGATGATAAGAATTTGCTTGTGTGAGATTAAGAAGAAAAAGAAGATTTTTGGAGGAAGAAGGAAATAGTCTTCTTTTTTTTTAATTAAAATAGAGAAAGTGAGGTAACTTTCTTTACGCAGAAAAAGAAATAAAGGGAGAAGCATCAGAAGAGGGAGAGAAAGAATTTCCAGAGTAAGGACTAAGAATTTTCAGAGTAGGACTCAAAAATTCTGTTGCTAGTGTTAGTTGCTTTATTTTCACTGTTCCTTGAGCCGAGGGTCTATCGGAAAGAACCTATCTACCGTCACAGGGTAGGCCTGCTTACACATTAGCCTCCCGAGACCCCACTCGTGGGATTACACTAGGTTTATTGTTGTTGTTGACTCAAACCCTTGGTTCTAGTAACAGAATTTTTAGAGTATGGATAAAGAATTTTAAGAGTAGGGACTCAAACCCTTGGCTCTAATAGAAATAAGATCAGATGAGGGCATCGGTCATGTAGAAAGTAGCAGCGCCAGTCACCTAAGATATAGTGGCACCAGAACAGTCGCCACAGAGATGAATAATGCTTGAAGGTAGAGAGGAGCAGCGGGTGCTGGAGAAGGAGCAGTCTTGGACATCGAAAGGAAGAAGAAAAGAAGAAAATCATTGGTCAGACGGGGAGCACACACTGGTGTAGCAGAAGCTATTTAAAACTCTACCAAGATCTTAGAGGCTCTGAGATACCATGTTGAACTGTGTGACCATCGCATCTATGATCTAACAGCTTAAGTTTTTGGATGAGACGGACACACAATTCAATATGTATCAGAGTAGGAAGAAGTCATGGGTTCGAGTCACCACCACCCATTATCAAAAAGAATCTTCACGTGCTTGACTCATGAAAAAAGAATAAAGCCTGCAAGTGTTGGGGCATATTGAAGACATAATTAATTAAGTAAAAGTGTGCTCTTTTGGGGCATATTGAAGACATAATTAATTAAGTAAAAGTGTGCTCTTTTGGGGCATATTGAAGACATAATTAATTAAGTAAAAGTGTGCTCTTTCTAACAGCTTAAGCTTTTAGATGAGATGGTCACACGCTTCAATAGGTGAAGCTCAGAGTTCATATCCAATTTAAGGTGTGTAGATCATTGTTGTCTCTTCATCAACAAAGATTAACAGATACCAGAAAATGTGAGAAGTGCGTCAGGAACCACAATCTCTTGACTGAAATGGTCATAAGAAGATGGATTTTACTGTCAAAGTAGGGGAAGGAAAAGATGGTCTAGGCAAGAGAGTCATTTGATGGCTGCGTTGGCACTGACCGTAAAATCCAGTGTGCCAGGGGCAATACAACCAGGCCAAACAAGCTATGTTGTTGGCTTGTTGCCACAAAATTCTCATCCAGACAATCCCAAAGACGGCTTTACGATGACATAAATCCGGTCCCATATATCCAAAGCTCCATAAGAGAAAACTAGCACGACATAAAAATCGAACATAAGAAAAGGAGTTCCAAGCTATGGCCTTGTGACTTAATTCTGCAGGCATATATGTTCGGAGCCATCCTTTAAAAGGCATGTTCAGACTAATCCTATAGCTCTCCTTGAAGCAAACGAAACCAACAAATCTACAGTTTGTATTTTGTGACGTAAATCTTTTGCCTTAGGCAAGAACAGAATCTTGAGTCTATGCCTAGTAGAATTTCCCATGGCAGGGATATTCAGAAAAGAACAGGGTAAACATCATTAACAAGACTACTTCGTCTAAGATATGGCTTTATCTCTCGAAAGACAGCAAAAAAGACGACATTTTTCCACTGTTGAAATGCCATAAAAAGATTGCTTCGCTGCAACTATAGTATAATACCTCNAAAAAACAAACATGCTTCCTTCACTTTCTCTGAAATAACCAACAGGCCAGCAAACCCGGCAAACCCAATCATTGAGGTTGGACACAAATCTTTTTTATAAGCAAGCTAATCCCCAAAAATTGTGCATTCTGCAATTCAAAGTATTTATGAAATAGCACACATTCTGAGTGCTCTAAATTGGAGAAACTGGAGATAAGAAGATTTCGTTGTTCAAATTAATCATCAAATTAGAACAGTCGCAAAAAACAGTGAGAGAAGATGAGTAACCTGAAGCTGCGTCCATTATGGGTGAGAAGGAGGTACTCAGGAGCTTTCACTACCGCATCTCCAGTAGAAAACAACTGAATGCACTCTTCAAAAGGAACCAATTGATCTAAATTATTTGCGTCTTCATGGAACTTCGGTTCAACTTCCACTGTCCACTGAGAGAAGAACATTAACAGCCTTGAGGGGAAACAGAATCATCAAAAATTGTGTGACCAATTAAATCACATTTACACCAAATGTCCATTCAGCTTGCTTTGTATCAAATGAATCTAAGCAGCTTTTTTCCCTTGCAATCAATTTACATAACCTTGTTTCACTTATACAGAGGTGAAACTTATGTAATTAATCCAGTGATTCATTTGACAAATCCCATCTTAAAATTGATCTAGTTACTATCAAGACAACTGCAGATACAGCACTCTGAATCCCATGTAACATGATATTCTATCAGTTCAAGCCACATTTTATGGAACTCTTCACTTGAACGTGCAACTTCCTATGACTCTGAGCTTATAAACCAGTATTTGTAGAAAAGAAACCTAAGTTGATCTGCTCTTTAACCATGCCAACAAGGTAAGCAAATTGAACTGGAAAAGCTCCAGATCCACTATGCCCCAAGATACTGGTCCATTAGATCCAGCTGTCACATTATTATTATGTATATATATATCCAGGTACCAGTCTAATGTGCACACGGTCTGCCGAGCACAGTGGTCTGGAACACTCGATGGAATAGCATTTGGAAGGTACAGTGAAGTACAAAACATTGTCAAGGATTTCAAGTGTTCCTCTGAAATCAACAGGATCACTATGTCGGATTCTAAATTTCTTCATCTCCCACAACATGGTTGTATTCTGAAACTCGTACATTCGAAAGTTTGCAGAGACTCACAGCCAGATGACGATTTATATACCAACACGGAACCATACGAATGCATCAAAGAGGACTGACATGACATTAGAAAAGAATATTTTCAATAGGGACCCTATTCTCCAGTTTTGCCTCACTCCACCTGAAACATCAAAGATCTAAACTCTATCCGAAAAACCGAGATCAACTAAACCAACTTCAGACCTTTCATCCAGTCTATTGATCTTTTAAAGCTTACGGCATACATAAGTGCCTCCAGAGAGGTCCTCTATTTCTTTTTCTATGCTATAGGTCACGGGCTCACGGCTATGTGGTCGCACTGTTGTTGAGTATTAATGATGGCAGCTTAGGACAAGGGATTTCTAGCTGGCTGTAAAAGAATTCGGGTGCTGGCAACAGAAGGAAGAAGGAATCATAAATCTGTTTTTTTCCTGTTAAGTGATGCTGAAGAGGATAACCTGGATAGAGTTATATCAACTTGCATTGGTGGAATGGAAAAGGGGAAATGCCAGCAATAGGCTCGAGTCTCTGTGGAAAACTTTTTTAAGGATTACGAACAAAGATTTGGTGGAGCAAGGCATTTGTGAAGCATGAGCCGGAGCGTGAAGCTTAGGCACATGAAAGGGAAGCAAAAGAGTTTTGGACGCCAACTGTCAAATCCACATTTATGGAGTTCTAAGCAGGATTCCTGTAATTAAGGGTTCTTTTACAACCAAATGTCAGCCTGAAATGATCCAATAAAAAAGGCGACGATGGTCAGCTGGGGGCAACTCTAGCCATCAAGGATGTAGTGATTGAGACATGAGAGTAACAATTCAGATATCCCAGGTTCATCCCGAGCAACAACACGGCATGTGCTCAGCAGGATTACCTTGGCAACCTTGCTCGTGAGCTAGACAAGATGCCTAGTGGATTAGAGAAGGTGCACACAAATTGGCACAGACCATTGACATTAATTTATTTATTTTTAGGAAACACTCTAAATAGCATGGACGTGTATTTGATTTGTTGGATCTTCTAACAGTTTGTGTTCTTTAGGATTTTCCTTTATACAATTTTACATTTATCTATCAAAAAAGAAAGGAACATAAAAGGGTGCCATTATAACATTAAATCATAACTAATCTAGCTTGCCCCTGGGTACTCAGAGAGACGAAAGATGCCAAATAAATATTGTTAAATCTTCATAGTAGAACACTGCCACGCCATAATTTTTTTAGCACGCATACGACATTACACCTCGATCTGAACTAGTTGGGGTCAGCTATATGAATTCTTAGCATGCATGAGAAATAAAATTTGAAGGACTAATCTCACCTCCGTAGACTGGTGACAATAATTAGGATCCCTAAGGTAGATGCCTCGTGATGCAAGAGCTGCAACCAAAGCAAGCATTTCAGATCAGAACAAACACATCCTTTGATCAGGCAAAAAATAGCGGCGACAAGAAAAACTTTTCAAATTAAAGAGACTGCTATGATTACCCCCGTAGAAACAAAGATAACAGTTACTCCCTCCATTCCAAGGAGAAGGCAATATTTACTTATTAGCCCCCTTTCCAAAAAGAATGGCAGAATTCTAAACTTGGAAACAATGTAACTTGAACTTCCCATTTTACCCTTAATGGCAAGCTTTTATATCTACACAAATGTTATGGCAAGTTTAAGATCACAAGTTTCAAAAGTCTTCCTTTTTTTCTTACACTCCATGGCCAGCCAAACTACGCCATATAAATAGAAACGGAGGGAGTATTCATTTTTGATAAACCTCCCTTTTGTTTGAATAAGTTCGTCTTTGTTAAAACCATAGGGAAAATGGTCAGCAGCACCATGGAGCACATAACGAAAAACAAGAGCACACAAAACACAAACATGAGCACACACACACATACACGGAGTTGGTTTACTTGTTTTGCCAGCCTGCTTGATCTTTACTTGATACCATACACATGGAACATTTTGCACTTTTTGGATGTACTCATAGGCCCTGAGATGACATTCAAGATATGAATCAAAAAGGTATCAATGGCCATGCGAAAGATCAAAAGCCACAAGGAAGAGTGAACCTAACTTGTCAACTTGCATGAGTCCCTGTCCAGCGGATAATTTTTCTTCTAGTAAAGCACTCACGGGTACAGATGTATTCTCAAGAGCCTTCCGTACACTGTATGGACTAACAGGAATACCTTCTGCCTGCAGGTCGCATACTTCAGTCAAAAGGAAAACAAGAGAAACCGTGTAAAATGGCCATAACATAGGAATTACCTTCATAGCACTGACAAGTAACGCCACCCCGCCACAGGCACATGGAGATGCCATTGATGTTCCATTCATTAACATGCGTCTTTGAAGGGTCCATGTGGGAACAGGAGCCACAGCACCACCAGGGGCACTTATGCAGACACCAAGATCACCATCCACAGTAGGTCCCCGACTAGACCTGCATTCTCTTGGAGCTCAGCTTTGTAGCTTAAATTCTAATAAAGAGACTGGCACAAAAGTATCCTAAAAAAAGTTCCAAGCACTCGAATTGGAAAAGGGTTGCAAACATTAAATAAGGTCCATACCAAGTGTATTCAAGGCCTTCAGTAGGTGGCTCAACTAATAAGTGAGTACCAGCAGCCATAGCTGGGGAGACATATGCTCCCACTCCAATTATGCTTGACGAAGTGCCACCAGGTGCACCCACAGTAGTCAAAGCCGGCCCGCTATTGCCGGCACTGCTGACAAATATTAAACGATGTTTGTTGACCACCTGAACTTTTCACCAAATGGTTCACCAATCAACAGATTTCTCATACACTGAACTGCCAGCAAGTGAAAATATAAAGGCAATAAAACATTACCTCATTGACAAGGTCAACAAAGCGGCCATAATCTGGCAGCAGTGTAGGTTCCCCATAACTCATATTGATGACATCACATTTATGCTGTCCATAGAACAAGAATGCACATCTCAGAATTGATCAAAAATCAATGTAGTAACTATCTGTGAAGGAGCTTTAAATTGGCACTACACATATAGACAAAGCGCTTAACCACTTGACAAAAAACGAGAACCTCATTGGTAAGCTAGGGTCACATGACACTTAATAAGGTTGTCAGACGTGATAGAGTAAGATATTATAGGACTCACACCAACTTGAATGTGTATGCCACGCAATACTGGCACTTTAGGCCAAAAGTACCAGCCTTACAGCAAGACTTGGAATTTAGCAATTAGCATCTTAAAAGCTATGCCAAAAGGAATAGTGCCATCGTAGAAAAACCTTTACAATAAACCAGGCATCGGCTGGGTTGACTGACTTAACTCACCCACATATTCCACAGTTTGAGGCCAGGGACCTAGTTCAACCACTGTAGCTGGTGTGGACTGGTTCAATGGTAGCCAACCCATAAGCCATTCCAGCAAAGGTCCAGATCAAAACTGGACTGGTCCGTACCAGGGAGAAAAAATTGTGCATCCAACGCTCATCTGACCATTTAGAAAGATTACCGTTGAAGCGGTCAATTCGATTGTTTGTCTCACTCCCCCTTACCTCTTCAAAAATATTAGCTTGTTTAGAATTATTTCCTATCGCCGAAAAAATAATAAAACTGACCATCTCAATTCATCTATTCTCACAAAAAACTTTCAATCTCAATTCTCTCTTAACTCTCTTACATTCTCAAGCTTCTCTCCTTCAAACTCCAATTTACAATGCTATCAATAGATGATTTGGAATAAGATCTGAGAGACCTAAAAGGTGCTTAATATACCGTAACTGAGAATTGGATATGGAGAGAATAAGATCTCAGAGACCTAAAGGTGCTTAACATACCATCTAAAATTGGATGCAGATATCCGGAATGAAGAGCTGCATAATAGGAAACAAACAAGGAGTGGGAAGGAGAGAGTAGAAAACTAAAAAATCACTCGCCTCTAGAGACTGCATTATGAAGGGAGACCTTTCGCAAAGCAGAATGCTTTAAAAGGTTTACAAAAAATTTTGCCCATCTCTAAACTGAAAGACATTGGTGAGGATGTAGCAAAATGGGACGCAGATTCTTTGGGACATACAGTTTAGAAGGGCATTGCATGATGGGAGAAAGAGCTGGAGTTGATGACTTTGCTGCACTCACACGCTTATGAAAGCTTATGAAAAAACTGACAAGAATGGAGTGCTAATCATGATCATATCAGGAAAACACCCTCAGGAGTTCCCTGTCAAATGATTTGAAAGGAAGACAAATTTCCTGCGTCTACAGTATGGCCACCTAAACTGAAATTTTCGGTCTTAGCAGTGGGTTAGGGAGCTATTTTGGTTGCCGAATAATCAACTTCATCTAATAAAAGCATACATGCCATTTTGGTGCTTTTATGTAAAGACCATTGCTATTAAAAGTCAACGCTCCGACACTTTGTGAAGCCAGAGGCTACTGCTTCATGGATGAGACCATACACGTTGGAGAAATCTGTTCTTCAACCATTACAATAACGTGCAAAGTGATGCCAATGAGAAAAGGCCATTTCATTGAATAATGCTGAGCAATTGCTTAATATCGACATTATCGTATATTGGTTGTTAAAATTAGTTAATTTTAATTGTAATTTGACTATTAAAGTGCTAAGTTCATATACATTTGGTATTTTTGAAATTTTCCATAAATCGTGTGTTCCACTTCGAAGAAGAGCGTGCTTCACTTCAAGCTCCGTGGACCTTGTTGCTTTTCGCGCTTTTTGCTTTTAAAGACACTGGAACAGAGATCAGAAAAGGATGCAAATCACCTCTTAATCAATTGTAAAGTAACCTATAAACTGTGGCAGTTGATGCTAGATCTGTTTGCGAGGAAACAGACTATGAAAATTGTACCATGCGTAAAACTATGGAAAGACTTACTATGGTGCTGGCTAATAAGAGACAAAGGAAACAGAGCATTGTATTTCAGTCCACAAGCTGTTGATATGACAAAGATGATGATCGAGTTTCTACAGAAATTAACACCCAGACACAGAATTTAAAGCAGGAATCGCTGGAGATTTAAGAACTACCATTGCAGGAAGAAGAGATTCAAGAAAGGGAAAAGCACATTTGGCATGGGAGAGATCATGACTTAGCAGTAAAAGGATATACCGGTGAACAGGTCCTACCTCTACAGCTGCAATCAAGGCCCTAGTCAAACCAGTTCCTGTTTCCATAGATCCCAACCGTGAATCTCCAATTTTACAAGACACAATTTGTGCTCCAGGTGCAACTCCATTTAGCAAAGGTTCCTTCACAAAGACCACTCCACCGTCAAACAAGCATTAAGCGAGTTGAATCTAGTGCCAGATAAGCATCAGTATAATGAAATTGTTGCCAATAGAAATGCTATCTTACCTCCGGGTGGAAGGCGGCGGCAATACCAGCAACATGTGTGGCATGTGGTGAGCTATCTGTTACAATACTTAAAATGTTTCCTCCATTGTAGACATTTAGCACACACGTACAGGCATCCAATTTACTAAAAACTCCATGTTTTTGTTCAAGCCTACAAGGTTAGTGGTATAAATTATGAAACTCCAAAAGGTAAAGCAGTAGACACTAATATCGCAGTGTTCCTGTTCAAGTTGCATAAACCTCCCCAGTTACATCCCCCTTTTCCGAGAAAACAAAGATACACACATATTCCCCACACAGACAATAAGACAAACAGCTCGCTCATAAGCAGCTTTCCGTATCTTCTTTTCCTCAGGCATGGCTCCATCAATGACACACTAGCATATAAGATCCTACCTACAGCATTAGACCATCCCATCCCTCCTTGAAGTTCATTAAACCATGTCTAAGCCAATGTATTTATTTTTCCCTGAACAGATGAACCTTTAACTTTTTATTGGACCACAGGATGTCATCTTAATGCGACAAAGTCGGATCTTAAATCTTTTCTGGAGCAAACTCCACATACTTCCTTTGAGACTTTGGCAAGCCCAACGATAAAAGCACATTTAATCAACTTCTAAAATTCTATGAAAGCAAATAAACTGTACCTTTGATTCAGTACACATACAAAAATTACTACTATTTCTAGCAGCCATGTCATACCTGTAATTAGTTAAAGGAACAAAATCCGCAAGCTTCCCACATCCTGGATCATTCTCAAGACTCTGTGTGTCCAAAGCAGCTCTCCAAAGTTCTCCGTCGTGCCATACAACAGCATCAATAACTGGCCCCTTATCATCGTAGCTCTACAACAGATATTAGATTTAGCAATGGAAACAGAAAAATACAATTTATTGGTGAAGGACTTGGGAAATGGATCAGTATAAAAAGGTACGGACATCAGCTTGCTTGCGCAGGAGATCAACTCTGTTCTGGAGATCTTCACGACCCCTTTTCAAGTGCACACCTTCAACTTTTGTGTGTTTCTGCAGAATTGGTAAAATTATGCTCAGTAAAACAAAATTAAAGTAAAATTAGATAACTAGAACAACGAGATTGAGAAAATAAGAGCATGTCCCTGCACAATATCAAGCAATAAATGAGTTGGAACATCTTACATAAAGTCATGAACTTTCCACCAATATTTTCAAATAGAGTTTGTGTGCTTACTAGACGCACGAGTCAAGTGAATTAATGATAAATTGAATTCACGATAACTCAAATTAGATACAATCAATAGCACGATATTTACTTTTTACAAAATAAAAAATAATGAGTAAAGCACTCATAATAAGCGGGTAGCGAGAATGCCAGACAGAACTTTAAAGCAATGCAACATCCTTTTTCCTTGCTTGATTATTATATTATACTTATACTTCAGAAATTTTAACAAAGTAATCCAACTGCAAATCTCAGCCTCATCTCATCTGTATGAGCAATATACATCAGTTGTCAATTTAGTCAAGTTGCTCCTGTTTCAACCAGTTAAGCTCTAAGCCATCATGGAATAACATAGTCAACTTCACATTAGGCCTCGACTAAGCAGAATCAAGAAAGCACTAGGCTAGGCTGCCACCATTTGTAAGGAGGCTGAATTCAGTATCTCAGCAAATTAAGATTAGCTTTTGATTTGCTTAACTTGGTTTTGTTTCAAACTTTTCTAGAAGTCATGTCGATGGTTCTAGCAGCTTTTGACAAACTTGGTGGCCAAGTACATGACCATTGGCATGCACCCCTAAGTCACATGGTTTATTTTCTTTCTTAAGAGACTAAGGAATGTCTCTAGAGAGTACTCTTCAAGATTTTACCTTCATAAGTTACAATAGATAAGTAGCTAACTTTTCTCTGTATTTCTTTCTGATTCGTGAGTTGAAACTGCAAGACAGTTGTGTTACGAGAATGTGTTATCTCTATCATTAATTGGTTGACATTCCACATGCTCAATCATAAAAGACAAGCCAACCCACTCATCTGGTGGTTTAATATGTAATTAAGATAACAAACCTTTCCTTACTCTCTGCTATGTAGAGCTTACTCTTTTGATAAAATAAAGCCACCTAATTTGACATACTCAGAATTCCAAATCTTTGGTTTCTTTCCATGTAATATCCTTCTTCTTTTTTCAGAAAGTTCTTTCCATGTAATATCCTGTTTTTCTCTTACTTTATAATGCTGCTTAAATGTCACAGCTCTTTAAAGAATTTACAAGTTTCTTCGTCCTTTTAATTATCTCTTAGAATGATCATTGCGAATAAGTTAATCACCTCAACATTTTCGTTTTATCAAAATACGAGTTAATTGAACAAAATAGTCATACAGATGGTGGAGAACCTTATCAAATTCATCAAGTTGCTTTACAGCCTCTGCTATTGCTTCCTGATTTTTCTCATCCCACCTTTTCTTTCGTTCTTTCTGCAATTGAAAAGAGCTTTTAGAAACAGAGAACTTTAAGACCCTACAAGAAAGAAATCAAGTTGAATTTTTAAAAAAAAATAAAGAAAGAAAAGAAAAGAATTGAATTGTGAACACTTATATAAAGCATATAATCCAGAATATAAGGAGAATGGCAACTAGATTCACCTTTACTCGAGAAGTCAGTGTATCAGTAAAGAGCTCATACACCAATTTGCAGCCAACATGCCACTCACCAGATGGATTCTTCCATGAAGAATTTATGACAAGAGAAGCCCCTACAAGAAAATTAATATATAAAGCATTAATGCTGTATATAAATTACTCAGGGGTAGGTGGATCCATAGCACCTTCTCCGTACTTTAAACATAGCAAGTACAGGAGTGCAGGAGAAATGAAAATGTAACGGGACCTATTATAATTTTTTCGAAAATTTAGGAGCGATGCAATTAACAAAAGCCATGTATAGAAGGATGCGCGAGCATAGTGTAGTTCCCTATCAAAAGCATAACCAAAATGTCTCAAACACATTAGCAATCAAAAGAGTTAAACACATTCCGGAATCTCAATAAATCTGACATCATCAGAAATGATAAAGGTCTACAGCATACATCATTCTAAACAGCAATGGAAGATACAATTCATTCTGGAAACACTTCTTACATATATTGAAGGAAGACTAGCAACATTGTACACCTCAATTAGTATATCTCCCATATTGAGGATGGATAAACGTGTCATTTGGGACACCCAAGATGTAGACTAGTGCTCAATCAGCGTTATCAAAGGCGAAAAGCCCAAAAAAACCTCTAAGGTCTATTGGGGCTTTAAGCGCAAAACGCAAATAAAGCGTGGGCTTTAATGAAGAAAAGCGCAAATGGAGAAAAACGACAAATATGTATGTGTAGTGCAAGACTAAAATCTATAAGCATGAATACCAAATATATGGACAAAGAAATTGAAGAAAATTTATGACGGAGTGAAATATCAATTGTTTAGTGACGCCTTTTCAGGATTACGCTTATTGGCAAGGAAAAGTATGTCTTAGAGTCTTGATGACAATACTGAATTCTGAAGCGCCCGCCAAGCGATACGAAGCGCTCAACATATTTTCAGCATCGCTTCAAGGCTTAAGCGCGCTTTAAGCGTGCCTTTGATAACACTGTGCTCAATGAAATGGATAGAGAATCATGGGATTTCAGGTTCATATCCTAATGGAGACAAAACCACTAGGTTATTTCTTCCTATCTGTCTAAGACTCGAAGTCTTGGTGTACAGAGTTAACAATACTCGTGCTGATAGGAGGCAGCATATAACTGGTGGACTTAGTCAAGGTACGCACAATATGGCCCGGACACCACCGTCATAAAAGAAAATAAATGTGCCATTTGGGCTATTCAGAGGTTAAAATCCAAGTAGAGGCAAAAATAATAGGTGATTCTAACGCTTGGACACAGTTATCTGGTATATGTGCTAGTGGAATGTAGTTGATACCCTGTGGAATTAGTAAAAAGAAATTAGAGTGACTAGTTGGCATGGCGATATAAAGATTTAGACTGACTGGGGAAGTTTCAGTCATTCCATTAGTCAGCAGATGATTGAAGATTGTATTGGTCTATACTAGATGTAAATAAAAAATAAAAGTTGCAACATGATCAAACTATATCTTAAGGAGACAAGTGAAAGATTCTTATACAAAATTGCAAATTTATTTCTAAATTCAACGCACCAGAAGCCCCAAGAATACAACCATCATTATCAGCCTTCACCACTGTAGACGTATCAACATCTCCGCTCCCGGTACTGCAAATAAAATTATCATTACTCGTCCAAATACTAAATTATCCTTAACAGTTGTAGTGCGTGAAAATTTAGTATCTTTTTTAATACTAAAAAATTAGTATTATATCGACTAGAAATAAAAGTCAAGTCAAACTTCAGATTGTCAAGCTCACCAATCTATAACATCTATGACCTTCGGCTTTCCATCAGAAGTAACTCGTAATCCAGCCGCAGCGGGATCAACACCAGAATCTGATACACTTAATTTCATAAGCAACAGTATAGAATACAAATTGGACGCTTAATTGCTTCATCTTCTATTTCTTTTAGTAACAATACGATTCTAGATATTATGGTAATGAAAAAAAGGAATGAAGAATTTTGAAGTTGAGAAAAGCACCGAAAACGGCAATGACGACGCCGCGACCGTCGTACTCAGGGTGAGCTTCGATGAATCGATCAGCGGCAATCTCTTTCTTCGGCATTTGAGCAGCAAGGAAAGTGGATTCCTTAAGCTTGAAACTACGCACAGCTCCGTTACCGTCACTGGGTTTCACTAGCGAAGTACAAGGCATGGCCCTAGTTATTCTACCACTCTTATTAAACCTACTATCGCTCTTTCCAGTTAGCCTTTTGGGCACAATGATGGGGGAAGAACGAGAAAGTAATGAGTGTGAATATGATTGAGGTGTCGAGAGTGGAAGTGATTTAAATAATGGGCTTTGCATTGCAGTTGCAGGGGTGTTTTAGTAAGTTTGTTTTTCAAGGGTGTTTTAGTAATTTGAGTAGGAAGACGGCGGATTCCGGCCGTAGCGTAGAAGGAGAGATTGCCACCTGCCGGAAATTAAGGGGCTTGTGTCGTTGGGTTTAGATGGGTGTCCTGTGAGTTGAGTTTGAGTGTCAAATTACCTTATCCATCCTTGCTCCACATAATAGCCAAATATATGTTGGGAAGAATTATCTAATTAGTATTAAACTACAGCTAAAAGTTATTCTATAAATAGAAACTTTTCCTGACGAAATAATTTGGTACTTCCACGTTGAACATGTGAAGCCCGGCACATCTCTTTTCCTAGGAGAATGCTTCATTTGGATTCTAGTAATGTTGAGGGAAAATTCAGTTCCCATATCAACTATTTCTTGTTACATAGTTATAGAGGAGAAAGAGAATTCAACTCCTAAGACTGCTATAAAATTGTTATCATTTGATTATCGGACTATTCCTCATGGACACATGTGAATCAAACTATTTGTCCTAAAATGTTGTCACCACCATAGTTGCCAATGTCTATACTGCCAACTATTTCTTCTTTTCTTATTATTGATTGATGAAATCTCCAAACATGTCTCACGACTCATATTTGGAACAGTATTGATGTTTTGTAGAGACTAGTATTTGTACAGCAAGCTATTTAACTTGTACACTTCTAGAAGTAGTTAGAATAGCTAATTAGCACATGTGTAAATTGTTAATTAGTTAGTTAAGTGTATTAGTATAAATACATAGTCACTGTACATACGCTTAAGTCAAGAAATGAGAATCTTCCGCTTATTCTCTCTCTAGATTCTTCTTCTTCTTCTTCACTAACACCTTGGAGCTCTCTAATGGCTTCCTTGTGGATAGTCTTGACATGGTATCAGAGCATGGTGCTCAGCGATTCTGATTGAGAGACTCCGATCTTCAAAGTTTCTCCTCTTCTTCTTCTTCGATTCCTCTCAGACTTATCTCCCAAACTCAATTTTTTCTTCTTCAATCTCACTTAGATCTGCATCTCAAGCTCAAATTTGAGCCCTAAAAGTTCGAAGATTGTCTTCAATGGCGAATGATACAGTAGAAAACACAGTTGGAACATCACATGCAAACAATCAAAACATCGATTGTAATGATCCTTTGTATGTACATCCCTCAGACACACCTGGCTTGCAGATTGTTCCACAATTGCTCATAGGAACTGAGAATTACTCGGAATGGAGTAGATCTATGAAGATGTTACTCCTTGGGACAAATTGGGGTTTATTGATGGAACATGTACCAGAGATTTGTACACCAACAATGCCTTTCAATTGCGTCAGTGGGATCGATGCAACGCAATTGTTCAATCGTGGATAATGAGTTCAGTGGCAAAGGAACTTAGAAAAGGTATTGTATTCTCCTCAAATGCACAGAAAGTCTGGATTGTGTTGAAAACTAGATTTGATAAGGTAAATGCAACAAAAATTTATCATATGAACATGGAGATAAGCTCGTTGGTACAGAGAGTTTCTAGTGTATCAGTATGTTTCTCAAACCTAAATGATTTGTGGGATGAATTTGAGTCCTTGATTCTGGAACCTTGTGATTGTGATAAGTCAGAGCCATTTGTTGAATTTTTACGCCAACAGAAACTCATGAAATTTTTGATGGGATTAAATTGTTACACCCCAAGTTTTCATACGTGAGAGTACGTTGTAAGTCATTGATGTAAGCTCGGAAATGAGATTATATTTGGAAGAAAATAAAGTAAGGTAATCATGTTACCTTGGAGGTTACAAATATTTAAGATCATGAATAACGAGTACCAAGAGGGTTAGAAATCTTAGAAGCAAAACCAATTGAAGAAAAATAAGTTTCGTCAAAAGTCGACAAGTTTGGAATGTTATAACATGTACTTTGGGGTGAGACTAGGGTTCTTAATATGATAAGGAGGTTATTCTATGAGTTATTTTAGTCGTATGATATTCATTTTCTACATTTTGAAGGCAAGCAAGTTGTGGGACAAGAGTTGGCAAAGGTCATCACAAGTTACATTCATAAATTTGCTGAAATTTAGGTCAAATGTATCTAAGAATTTATCCAAATATAATTGGAATCATGGGGTGTTCTACCTACCACATTTAAGGTCTACGAGTCTACTTTATAACTCATTAAACTGTTTGTCAATACGACATCGGAGTAGAGAGATATTCGTATTTTTGCGAGACCGCGCAAGCAGCTCCCAATGGGACCCACTTAGGCGGTGGTTGACCTACTTCAATTTATAAACGATTTGGACGCCTATTTTTGCTCATTTTTCAACTAAAATTCGTCTCCAAACTTCTCCTAACCCTCCTAAACATATATCACAAGGGTTTGAAGTGATTCCAAAGTGATTACACCATATTTCAACATCAAAACTTAGTTCTAGTGAAGAACAACACCTCTTTGAGGTTGTGTTGTCATTGAGGATTGTTGTGGGCTGTATTTGGATGAAATTCCAAGTTTTTGCTGCTGTCTAAGGTGAGTATAACAGCCTACTAATTGTGCTTAATCTTGCTTGTATGTTGGTTAAGTTGTTAGGATGATAAACTACAAGATAATACTTGGATTAGCTTAAGTCACTTCTATGGTGTTGTATTGCTATTAAGGGTTGTTGTAAAATGAATATAACTTGGATTTTGACTTGAAGTTACTGTAGGAGGTATGTATATTGTGTTCTTACTTGTGCCTAAGGTTATCTTGATTTTGATTAAGTTAAATGGATGGGCTTGACATGAACTAGTGAATAAAGTTGCTAGTTGGGGATAGTTGAAGTTGTGGATTATTTTCGTTGTTATAAATATATGGTATAAGGCTGGAATCATTGATTAATGACTTATTATCATATTAATGATACTTTTATGTTGAAGTAAGAAGTCTATAAGGATTGATAAGTGGTATACGGATTCCAATCGGAGCTTGTCGTTCGTCGTAATGTAGTTGTGACTTGTTGTTGTTATATGGTGTCTTGATATTGATAATTATGTATTGATGGATTGCTCTGGTCATTGTTGTTTGTATATGGTATTGGAGGAGGCCCTTGTTACAAGGGAGATGCTGCCAAAATTTACGTAAACGAGCTACTAGCTTAAGTTATAGACTTAGCCTTTGCTCAGCACTGATTTTGAATCTCCTTATACTATGATAGATTGAGTTGACTTGTTTGAAGAGTTGCTTGGAAGTGATTAAGGACTCAACGGGTTTAAGGTATGTTAAGGCACTTTCTTCTTTCTTTTGGCATGATCTAAAATGAAATGAACGTAAACGATACGCTATTTCATAATGACTCTACTCCTAGCAACTAAGGTTGTCCATGTTGCTCTTTCCTTATAAAATTATTCTAAACAAGTGTGTATGATCCTTAAATCCTACTAAGGTTCATATTGATGGTAGGGATGTCCATAATGTTCTTAAGTCACTCCAAAAGGTTTAGAATGTGATTCCATTAGTCGAGCATGCATTATGTATATGTATCTATTTTACTCTACCGAGCCGCGCTATAGTCGGCCGGGTACGGCACATATTGTGCAACCACTGATCAGTTGGATTTTATCGAGCTCCACGTGGCCGGGTACTATTCTACCGAACCTTATGATGGTCAGGTACGCTTTTACCGAGTCCTCTTTGAGGCCGGGTATGATATGATGTTGATGATGCCCACAGAGGCGAATGTTTTAAAAAGTTTATGTATATATATGTATTATGCATTTCATATCAGTAACCCCCGGAGGCACTCAGATGTTACAGGTTGTATCTCCTCTATCTCTCTCTTTACATTACTGTTCTTGTTTATGCTTTCCTGCCTAACATACTCGGTACTTTATTCGTACTGACATTCCTTTTGCCTGGGGACGCTGTGTTTCATACCCGCAGGTCCCGATTGATAGGTT